CACAAGGTCTCAACCAACTGTGGTTCAAGGATTCCTCCACCGACACCCATGCAAACAACACTGGCTTTGTAGCGCGCCGTGGCTATATCATTGCCAAGCCGGCGAACAAAGGGTCGTTTTCATTCGCCATCCCCCTGAAGCACATTTTTTATTTCGCTGATGACTACGACAAGATCGTGTACGGGTTAAGGCATGAAATCACACTCGTGCGCGATTCAGATACAAATGCCATCCTGAGGGACCACGCCGTCGACGTGGGAAAAGTTGTCCTGCGTAAGATCTCATGGTTCGTCCCCCACGTCACTCCTTCAGACGAAAACAAGATGCAGCTATACAAAACCATTCAGAGTAAAGCGAAGATCAACTGTGGATTTCGAATGAGGCAGTGCGATTCCATAGCCGTCCCAAAAGCCTCACAGTTCAGCTGGCGTTTATCTGCCAAGAGCGGTCGCGAGAAGCCCAGGTACATCATCGTTGCCTTCCAAACCGAGAGAAGTGGGAACCAGGAGCGCAATGCTGCCGTGTTCGATAACTGTCGATTGCAAAACACCCCTGTCACTCTCAACGCTGAACGCTACCCGGCCGTCGACTACAATGCCGTTTTCACCGAAAACAGGGTAGCCAGAGTGTTCAAAGAGGCTGCTGACTTCATGAAGAAATTCCACAACATGGACACCCTCCTCAGCAACGGTGGCATCAACCCCTCTGACTTCATCGATCTGTACTCCTTGTTTGTCATTGACGTGAGTCACCAGTCCGAGCGGCTGAAAGAATCCACGGTGGACATTCAGATCCGGGCCCAGTTCGAGCGTAACGTGGAGGCCAACACCAGAGCATTTGCACTTATCATTTCCGACAGAATCCTACATTTTGAATCCGATGATCAGAAGATGAACGTTGTGTTCTAAAAGTAAAAAATGGAAAACATTTACCTACAAATCCTCTTTGCCAGCCGCCCTGCAGAAGTCTTTGCGATCGTGGTGAAGACTGGTAGACAACTCAAGGAGCAGTATGACGGTATCGAAGAGTGGAAGCAAAAATATGTGACAATGGTGTACCATAAATAAATGGATAACACATTTTTGCGACGAATTGCAAACAACACTGACCCCAAACAGGGGTTCTCGTTCATCGTCTCTGGAAACGATAGTCAAATCCTTACCTGGTTCAACCCCCCCCCCCCCCCCCCCCCCCACTGGAACTCAAGGAATCCAAGACCTATGAGATGGCATTAGTGAACCTGGAAACCTATAACTCCATCCCCAACATTCATTCAGCTAACAATTCCTTCCGCTACTCCCCCGACGATGGTGCCAACTGGTTTCCCATCGCATTGAGCACAGGTTCATGTGACATCGAAGACATCAACAATGAGATCCAGCGGCGGCTACGGCTCAACAAACACAAAACAAAAATCATCATCGATACCAACCGGGCGACCTTAAGAGCAACGCTAACCCTCACAAGACACTATCGAGTAGACTTCAACGTTGTCAATAGCATCAACACCGTCTTGGGATTCAAGCGGCAGATTTACACATTCGATATGATCACAGACGGCTATACAGAAGGGGAACACATTGTAAATATCATCAGCATCAACAGCATTCTGGTGAATAGTAATATCATCCATAGAGATAGAAGTTATGTGAATGGTACACAGCAGTCTACCATCTACAGCTTCTTTCCCGCAGACGGTCCTGGTATGAAGATCATTCAAACCCCCAAGAATCTAGTATACTTGCCGGTGACCTTGCGAACCATCAATCGCATGCAAACGTATCTCACCGATCAAGATGGTAGGCCCATCGATTTCAGGGGTGAACATCTCACCATCCGCTTTTATCTTCGTGAGGTATAAATAAATGACTTATCACGAACATGGTTTGAACTTGACAAAAGGTCAAGCTGATAAACTACAACGGGCTGTCAAGCAAGGTTGTCCGGTCTCCATTCGTTTGTCCCACGCAAACCTGCAAGGTGAACACAAGATATGGCTCACCTCTCGGCAGATTCAAAAGATTATTAAGCTTCTCCAGAAAGGTACTGGTGGTATGAATCTGTAGCTGAGTGCCGCCCTAATGAAGGAAAACGTGCAAAAAGTAGGTGGATTCCTACCCATGTTGGCAGGGCTGGTAATGAGGGCACTTCCCATGGTAGCTAAGACCATTCTACCTGCCTTGGGTGTTGGAGCCTTGAGCGGTCTGGGTGGTGTAGCCATCAACAAGGCCTTATTGTCTGGATTGTACCTGAAACGTGGTGGGTGTGTTTGTACCGTGAAACCTAGTGGCAACAGTCTCTACCTCAAACCATCAAACGCCCAGATCACCTATGGTGATGGACTCTACTTAAAGCGTGGTCAGCAATTCCACGACGGAGCCGGTCTGATCTTAGGTGCTAACAGCCCCTTCAAAAACATTCCCCTCCTCGGTATGCTCCTATAAATAAATGGATGATTTAGATTCTGGTTACCGGCAGACCAGAGTCGAATGTATGGAAGACCAACTCAACGCGGATATTCTAAAGTGTCAACGTACCTTGAAGATCTACAAACGACTCGATAAAGTAGTGTCTATAGCACAGGGTGTGTGTTCCGTAGCCAGTTTGATGTTGACAGCTGCACCATGGGTTCAGCTTTGACCGGTATAGGTATTATAGCCTCCCTTCCCCTAGGATCCCTTGCTTGCTTGAGTGCCACTGGCGTGATGGTACTCACACTGATCTCAAGGCGTATCATGAAAAAGAAGAAAAAACACCGTGACACCTTGCGATTGGCACAGTCCACAAAATCCTTGGTTGAACAATGTATTAGTACTGCTTTGGCTGATGATGAACAAATTGATGATGCTGAGTTTGGTAAGATCACAAGCTGCCTCAAGAACTACTATGATGAGAAAGATCAGCTGCGACAACCTTCCACCACTTTTAGTGAGGACCTTAATGCGCATGCGCCGTAAAAACGTCACACATCATTCCATTACGCTTCACTACACACATCGTTTCACGATGTGTTCCGTTCTGCTTCACTTCACGATGTGCTCCGTTTCAAGCATAAAAAAAAACACAAAAAAGAAAACAAAACTTTCCGATCCGGCAGAAATATCGGATGGAAATATTTTTTGTACCCCATCCAACCCATTTTTTTTTTTTTTTAATTAATTTCTTACAAGATCGCAAGAAAAGTACTCCTGTTTAGTCATTTTACTAACTTTTAAGCCTGTACTTCTCACGAAGGCTCCTTCCAAGGGTTCCTTCTCTCTGTTCAGACTACTGCAGGCCCATACCCTTGTCGTTTCTCCTTCTCTGTTTTTTCAAGGTGAAGATCTTACTCCTCCCAAACTTCCCATCTACTTCTACCACTTCTAGGATTTTATATTTTACCCAGGTTGGGAGTTCCTTCCATTTTAGAATTTCCAGGCTCTGGTCCTTTGCCTTTACCCTTGAAAACATTATCATTAATAAAATCGTCGTCTACGATTTTTTAACTTCTGAGTTCCTCCATCTTCTGTACGTAAGCCATATTTTTGTATCTACCCCTAGGATTACATCCCTTTAAGGTGTCTCTAACATTGTTTACAAAAAGCCATATTCTTGTTTCTACCCTTAGACTAGTTGAAACACAATGAATTTGCATTTTATGTTTGAGGTTGGGGTCCCTATGCAGGATTTGTGCTTAAAAATGGCAAGTGCGGCAGAATCCCCCTTTTTACACTACTACCCACCATTATTTTTCTGTAGAAGCCATGGTATAGGCCAACCCCCCTGTTTTTAACAATTTTGTTTTTTAATTTTGAGCTCTAGTTTAATTTTTTGCAAAATAGCGCCCTTCGATACCATGCGCAAAAGATGCGCCTGTTTCTCAACTACAAGACCTATATAGTCATACCCCGTGACACCCTCATTATTTTTCTCTAGAAGCCATGGAATAGGCCAACCCTCCTGTTTTTAACATTTTTTTTTTAAATTTTGAGCACTAGTTTCAGATTTTTGAATATAGCGCCCTTCGATACCTAGCGCAAAAGATGCGCTTATTTCTCCTCTACAAGACCTATATAGTCAAACCCCGTGACACCCCTCATTATTTTTCTCTAGAAGCCATGGAATAGGCCAACCCCTCTGTTTTTAACATTTTTTTTTTAAATTGGAGCTCTAGTTTCAGATTTTTGAACATAGCGACCTTCGATACTTTGCGCAAAAGATGCGCCCGTTTCTCCTCTACAAGACCTATATAGTCATACCCCGTGACACCCCTCATTATTTTTCTCTAGAAGCCATGGAATAGGCCAACCCCCCTGTTTTTAACATTTTTTTTTTTTAATTTTGAGCTCTAGTTTCAGATTTTTGAACATAGCGCCCTTCGATATCTTGCGCAAAAGATGCGCCTGTTTCTCCTCTACAAGACCTATATAGTCATACCCCGTGACACCCCTCATTATTTTTCTCTAGAAGCCATGTATTAGGGCAACCCCCTGTTTTTACCATTTTTTTTTTAAATTTAGAGCTCTAGTTTCAGATTTTTGAAAATAGCGCTCTTCGATACCTTGCGCAAAAGATGCGCCTGTTTCTCCTCTACAAGACATATATAGTCATACCCCGTGACACCCCTCATTATTTTTCTCTAGAAGCCATGGAATAGGCCAACCCCTCTGTTTTTAACATTTTTTTTTTAAATTTGAGCTCTAGTTTCAGATTTTTGAACATAGCGCCCTTCGATACCTTGCGCAAAAGATGCGCCTGTTTCTCCTCTTGAAGACCTATATAGTCATACCCCGTGACACCCCTCATTTTTTTTCTCTAGAAGCCATGGAATAGGCCAACCCCCTGTTTTTAACATTTTTTTTTTAATTTTGAGCTCTAGTTTCAGATTTTTGAACATAGCGCCCTTCGATACCTTGCGCAAAAGATGCGCCTGTTTCTCCTCTACAAGACCTATATAGTCATACCCCGTGACACCCCTCATTATTTTTCTCTAGAAGCCATGGAATAGGCCAACCCCCCTGTTTTTAACTTTTTTTTTTTAAATTTTGAGCTCTAGTTTCAGATTTTTGAATATAGCGCCCTTCGATACCTTGCACAAAAGATGCGCCTGTTTCTCCTCTACAAGACCTATATAGTCATACCCCATGACACCCCTCATTATTTTTCTCTAGAAGCCATGGAATAGGCCAACCTCCCTGTTTTTAACATTTTTTTTTTAAATTTTGAGCTCTAGTGTCAGATTTTTGAACATAGTGCCCTTCGATACCTTGCGCAAAAGATGCGCCTGTTTCTCCTCTTCAAGACCTATATAGTCATACCCCGTGACACCCCTCATTAGTTTTCTCTGGAAGCCATGGAATATGCCAACCCCCCTGTTTTTAACATTTTTTTTTTAATTTAGAGCTCTAGTTACAGATTTTTTAACATAGCGCCCTTCGATACCTTGCGCAAAAGATGCGCCTGTTTCTCCTCTACAAGACCTATATAGTCATGTCCCGTGACACCCCTCATTATTTTTCTCTAGAAGCCATGGAATAGACCAACCTCCCTGTTTTTAACATTTTTTTTTTTAATTTTGAGCTCTAGTTTCAGATTTTTGAACATAGCGCCCTTCGATACCTTGCACAAAAGATGCGCCTGTTTCTCCTCGACAAGACCTATATAGTCATACCCCGTGACACCCCTCATTATTTTTCTCTAGAAGCCATGGAATAGGCCAACCCCCCTGTTTTTAACATTTTTTTTTTTTTAATTTTGAGCTCTAGTTTCAGATTTTTGAACATAGCGCCCTTCGATACCTTGCACAAAAGATGCGCCTGTTTCTCCTCGACAAGACCTATATAGTCATACCCCGTGACACCCCTCATTATTTTTCTCTAGAAGCCATGGAATAGGCCAACCCCCCTGTTTTTAACATTTTTTTTTTTAATTTTGAGCTCTAGTTTCAGATTTTTGAACATAGCGCCCTTCGATACCTTGCGCAAAAGATGCGCCTGTTTCTCCTCTTCAAGACCTATATAGTCATACCCCGTGACACCCCTCATTTTTTTTCTCTAGAAGCCATGGAATAGGCCAACCCCCTGTTTTTAACATTTTTTTTTTTAATTTTGAGCTCTAGTTTCAGAATTTTGAACATAGCGCCCTTCGATACCTTGCGCAAAAGATGCGCCTGTTTCTCCTCTACAAGACCTATATAGTCATACCCCGTGACACCCCTCATTATTTTTCTCTAGAAGCCATGGAATAGGCCAATCCCCCTGTTTTTAACATTTTTTTTTTTAATTTTGAGCTCTAGTTTCAGATTTTTGAATATAGCGCCCTTCGATACCTTGCACAAAAGATGCGCCTGTTTCTCCTCTACAAGACCTATATAGTCATACCCCATGACACCCCTCATTATTTTTCTCTAGAAGCCATGGAATAGGCCAACCCCCCTGTTTTTAACATTTTTTTTTTAAATTTAGAGCTCTAGTGTCAGATTTTTGAACATTGCGCCCTTTGATACTTTGCGCAAAAGATGCGCCTGTTCCTCCTCTACAAGACCTATATAGTCATACCCCGTGACACCCCTCATTATTTTTCTCTAGAAGCCATGGAATAGGCCAACCCCCCTGTTTTTAACAATTTGTTTTTAAATTTTGAGTTCTAGTTTCAGATTTTTGAACATAGCACCCTTCGATACCTTGCGCACAAAATGCGCCTGTTTCTCCTCTACAAGACCTATATAGTCATGTCCCGTGACACCCCTCATTATTTTTCTCTAGAAGCCATGGAATAGGCCAACCCCCCTGTTTTTAAAATTTTTTTTTTTTAATTTTGAGCTCTAGTTTCAGATTTTTGAACATAGCACCCTTTGATACCTTGCGCAAAAGATGCGCCTGTTTCTCCTCTACAAGTCCTATATAATCATATCCCGTGACACCCCTCATTATTTTTCTCTAGAAGCCATGGAATAGGCCAACCCCCCTGTTTTTAACATTTTTTTGTTTTAATTTTGAGCTCTAGTCTCAGATTTTTGAACATAGCGCCCTTCGATACCTTGCGCAAAAGATGCGCCTGTTTCTCCTCTACAAGACTTATATAGTCATACCCCGTGACACCCCTCATTATTTTTCTCTAGAAGCCATGGAATAGGCCAACCTCCCTGTTTTTAACATTTTTTTTTTAATTTTGAGCTCTAGTTTCAGATTTTTGAACATAGCGCCCTTCGATACCTTGCGCAAAAGATGCGCCTGTTTCTCCTCTTCAAGACCTATATAGTCATACCCCGTGACACCCCTCATTTTTTTTCTCTAGAAGCCATGGAATAGGCCAACCCCCTGTTTTAACATTTTTTTTTTTAATTTTGAGCTCTAGTTTCAGATTTTTGAACATAGCGCCCTTCGATACCTTGCGCAAAAGATGCGCCTGTTTCTCCTCTACAAGACCTATATAGTCATACCCCGTGACACTCCTCATTATTTTTCTCTAGAAGCCATGGAATAGGCCAACCCCCCTGTTTTTAACATTTTTTTTTTTAATTTTGAGCTCTAGTTTCAGATTTTTGAACATAGCGCCCTTCGATACCTTGCACAAAAGATGCGCCTGTTTCTCCTCTACAAGACCTATATAGTCATACCCCATGACACCCCTCATTATTTTTCTCTAGAAGCCATGGAATAGGCCAACCCCCCTGTTTTTAACATTTTTTTTTTAAATTTAGAGCTCTAGTGTCAGATTTTTGAACATAGCGCCCTTCGATACTTTGCGCAAAAGATGCGCCTGTTTCTCCTCTTCAAGACCTATATAGTCATACCCCGTGACACCCCTCATTATTTTTCTCTAGAAGCCATGGAATAGGCCAACCTCCCTGTTTTTAACATTTTTTTGTTTTAAATTTGAGCTCTAGTTTCAGATTTTTGAACATAGCGCCCTTCGATACCTTGCGCAAAAGATGCGCCTGTTTCTCCTCTACAAGACTTATATAGTCATACCCCGTGACACCCCTCATTATTTTTCTCTAGAAGCCATGGAATAGGCCAATCTCCCTGTTTTTAACATTTTTTTTTTTTAATTTTGAGCTCTAGTGTCAGATTTTTGAACATAGCGCCCTTTGATACCTTGCGCAAAAGATGCGCCTGTTTCTCCTCTTCAAGACCTATATAGTCATACCCCGTGACACCCCTCATTATTTTTCTCTAGAAGCCATGGAATAGGCCAACCCCCCTGTTTTTAACATTTTTTTTTTAATTTTGAGCTCTAGTTTCAGATTTTTGAACATAGCGCCCTTCGATACCTTGCGCAAAAGATGCGCCTGTTTCTCCTCTACAAGACCTATATAGTCATATCCCGTGACACCCCTCATTATTTTTCTCTAGAAGCCATGGAATAGACCAACCCCCCTGTTTTTAACATTTTTTTTTTAATTTTGAGCTCTAGTTTCAGATTTTTGAACATAGCGCCCTTCGATACCTTGCACAAAAGATGCGCCTGTTTCTCCTCTACAAGACCTATATAGTCATACCCCGTGACACCCCTCATTATTTTTTTCTAGAAGCCATGGAATAGGCCAACCCCCCTGTTTTTACCATTTTTTTTTTTTAATTTAGAGCTCTAGTTTCAGATTTTTGAACATAGCGCTCTTCGATACCTTGCGCAAAAGATGCGCCTGTTTCTCTTCTACAAGACCTATATAGTCATACCCCGTGACACCCCTCATTATTTTTCTCTAGAAGCCATGGAATAGTCCAACCCTCATTTCTGCAAATGTGTATTTTAGTTCAATTAAACAATGACATCAAAGGTGCTATATTTTACAGGGAAGGACTACTTTTACATACGTTCTAAATTGAAGTGGATGCATTAGTGGTCTTACACCTACAAATAATCCCTTGACAGATGCAGATTTACTGTGGTACTGAATATTAGCCTAAAAAGAGATGTGACTTGTTTTATCAATGGATGGGATAAATACCATTTCACGATAGAGTTGAAATTGCAATATTTGGACGGAATGTCTGCCTTTTTAAATGTTTTTCATTTGACGGCCGTTGCTGTCTTATTCATTTTTTCGGTTTTTAGATATATCGCCTTATTGTTCGCTGGCTTATTGTTCGCTAGTTATTGTTCGCTAGCTTCAGCCTGGTATGTACACCTTACAATCATTCCATACACCAAATATAGTAGACCTATTGCATACAGTATAAGAAAAACAGACCAAAACACAAAAACTTAACTTTAACCACTGAGCCATGAAAATGAGGTCAAGGTCAGATGACACCTGCCAGTTGGACATGTACACCTTACAGTCCTTCCATACACCGAATATACTAGACCTATTGCTTATAGTATCTGAGATATGGACTTGACCACCAAAAATTAACCTTGTTCACTTATCCATGAAATAAGGTCGAGGTCAAGTGAAAACTACCTGACAGGCATGAGGACCTTGCAGGGTACGCACATACCAAATATAGTACTCTTATTACTTATAATAAGAGAGAATTTAACATTACAAAAAATCTTAACTTTTTTTCTCAAGTAGTCACTAAACCATGAAAATGAGGTCAAGGACATTGGACATGTGACTGACGGAAACTTCGTAACATGAGGCATCCATATACAAAGTATGAAGCATCCAGCTCTTTCGCATTCTAAAATATAAAGCTTTTAAGAAGTTAGATAACGCCGCAGCCGCCGCCGGCGGATCACTATCCCTATGTCGAGCTTTCTGCGACAAAAGTCGCAGGCTCGACAAAAATGTTAGAAGAAATAAAAATAACAAAAGTTGATAAAAATTACAGAAACACAATGGGTTCAAAGCTGAGTTGCAATCTCTATTGATTTGTTATGGAAGAAACAGTATTTTGTGTAACGTAATTTTGTGTTCTTCAACTTCTTGGTTTTGGTGAAGTAGACTGCTAAGACCGTTCATGTAAATTAACGAAAATATACCAAATTTTAAATCCTTGACACCGCAAAGTCAATAAGGATCTTTTAACCCTAATGCTCTTAATAATTTGTGAAAGATTATATTTCTGAGTGAAACATTTGTTCTGAAATGCAGACTTTTCATGGATGAGGGGACCTTGGACCTTCCACCAACCAAAGAGTTTGATCGCTCTGAGGGATACGATCGCCATTGTTTTCATTGATATTAGTATTTTTTTTCAAAAAAAAAATTAAACTGCATGCACATGTATTCCCTATTTGATTCAATCTGAACATAGTTTTTCACTTTAAAAAAATAGCCAAAATAACTATAAGTTAACAGTAAAAAAAACAACCAATTTCAATTACTAGTAATACACAGACAAATGCATTTTTTTCTTCTAAATTTTGCTCTGGACACGGTCTTGATTATTACAAGTCTTCTATTCCAACAGATTTTAGCGCATGACTTGAATGGAATAGTCTATCCAAAGGTAATGTATTAATGGCTGAGTTCATTATTAATCTACTAAGATTTTTAACAAAACAGGAATAATAGCAAATAAATACATATTAAAACATGTTAAATGAATTTCACGTTTTTAAAAACATTTTGATCAACAATGAGCAACAAGTTGCATGCAAGTTTATAATTAGGAAGACGTCACTTGGGCTGAGGGGGTGTTCTACTTCTACTTCTACCATTACGCTGTTTATAACTACATTTTCCGAGTTAATAATGCAACAACAATAACCCTAAATAGTGGATAAAAACACAGAAAGGATCTCGTTGAGTTGCAAATAAATCAATGGAGTGGGGAATCCATAAATATAGATACTGCTTCATACTGATTTTTCGTATTGTAAAATAAAAGCAAATAAAAATTAAAAACCAATTGTTCAGAGAACAATTGAAGGTCTTTCCACATCAATTTTCAAAGTTATTGAAAAGAAGCTAGTTCCGGTTTACTCAAAGTTAAAATTGGTATCCAATCATAAGTTTCTTCAAACTGATGCGATAAATGAATGGTTTCTATATACTTTTGAGTGAAATAAGGGAGATAATTTGCTACTTCCGGTGAAGTTAGCGTCACTTTCGGTTTCATTTGATAGCTTCTTTTACACGGTTCAAAAAATATATAGTTTCTATATACTTTTACATGTAAAACAGGAGATAATTGGCCACTTCCGGTTTATCGAAAGTCACTTCTGGTCTTTAGTGATGTTTATGTATTTATATTACAACATATATGATTTTCTGAGTACTTTTCCATGAAAAAGTGCAAAAAAGGCTACTTCCGGTTTTCTCAAGGTCACTTCCGGTTGACATTTTTCAGGGTCATATGTCACCAAACCTTTTGTAAAAGGTCATATGGCTTTATGATGAACCAAGTTGAAGTAATAATCAAGTAACCTTATAATTAGACATTTCAGGGGCACTTATATTGTTTCAAACCAAATGTACCATATTTTCATTACAATAAAGCAAACATTTTGCACTTGTTCTTTCATAAATATCTTTAAAAGTGTTGGAGAAAATGCAAAAACAGGGAAAAGTCAAAATTGAGAACTTGACCTTTGACCTTGACTTCATTTCCTAAGTTAGGACCTACAGGCTTCAAATAAAAAGATTCCAAGGTTATACGGTTAAAGGTTTATGAGTTAAAAAAACATACCGACAAATTTTTTTGGTAAAGGTAGATAACTCCCATAAAATTTCATCGAATGGCTTCGATCCAAATTAGTCAAACATTCCTGAGGATGTAACGAACAATTTGGAAAAAGAATTTTGTCGATATCTTTTTTTATTACGAAGGAGATGCACACACTTGATAAACAGTGAATAGGGAGATAACTCTTGCAAAGAAACTGGTTCGGCTTAGCAGGGTGAAATTTAAAAGCGCATAAACTATACGATACAATATGAGAAATATCTAAGCGACATATTGCTAAACAAACATTTATAGCAAGAACAAAATTTGGCGGAAGAAAAAAAAAAAAATAAAAAACCAATTGAAGGTCTTTCCACATAAATTATCTAAATAATTGATAGGAAGCTACTTCTGGTTTACTCAAAGTTATAAATAGCGTCAAAGTACAGATTTCTTTATACGGATTCAATAAATAAATGGTTTCTATATACATTTGCCTGAAATAAGGGAGATAATTGCCAACTTCCGGTTTAGAAAATGTCACTTCCGGTCTCATATGATAGCTTTATTCACACTGATTCCAAAAATATATAGTTTGTATATACTTATGCCTGTAATAAGGAAGATAATATGCTACTTCCGGTATATAAAATGTCACTTCCGGTCTCAAATGATAGGTTAACCTATGATCATTCAAAAAATATATGGTTTCTAGGTACTTTTCCGTGAAATAAGTGCAAAAAATACTACTTCCGGTTCACTCAATGTCACTTACGGTTGACATTTTTCAAGGTCATATGTCAACCAACAGTTTGTAAAAGACCCTATGGCTTTATCATGTACCAAGTTGGAGTAATAATCAATTAACCTTAAATTGAATCATTTCAGGGACAATAACTCCTTTAAGAATTCATTGGATTGTTTCAGACCAAATGTATCATATCTTAATCACAATTAAGCAAACATTTTGCACTAGTTCTTTAATTTGTAATTTTAAAAGTGACAGAGGAGATCAAATAACAAGGAAAACTCAAAATTTAGAATATGACCTTGACCTTTGACCTTGGCCTCAATTTCATTTAAATGAACCAAGAAACTCAAATAAATATACCTTAGGTCTCTATCACTTACCATTCATGCTATACATTTATATTTCCCTTATGTCAAATACAGAAGGGGAAATAACTCTCATATGGATTTTACTTATCGCTTCTGTCAAAATTAGACAAAACATCCTGAGGATATAACGAGCAATTTGGTAAAAAAATTTTGTCGCTTTCTTTTACGGTTACGGAGGAGATGCACGCACAAGGAAAACAGTGTTCCGGGAGATAACTCCTACAAAGAAAAGTATTCGGCTAAGCAGGGTCAATTTCAAAGGCGCATAAACTGTTCGATATCATATACGAAACATCTAAGCGACATCTTGCGAAACAAAAATTTATCGCAAGAACAAAATTTGGCGGAAGAAAAAATTTAAAAAAAAAAATAATCAGAAGAAAACCAATAGGTCTTTCCACAGAAAAGTGGAAAGACCTTATAATAATAATCAGAACAAATACAATAGGTCTTTCCACAGAAAAGTTGAAAGACCTAAAAATGAGGATTATGAGAAGGAAACTAACGGAAAACAATCTGTTTGTTTGTTTTACTCTTTAACAGAACAGAACAATCATAAGAATCTGAGTTGTTCTTTAATATAAAGCACAAAACGGTTGACATGAGAGCCTTGGAAAGGAGTCGATCGTAAAAGTCTACAGATTGCTTCACAGCTATCATATCTCAAAACCAATAGTAGAAAGTGGGCTTTTCTTTCCAAAGAGGCATCATCAGTCGAAGAATGAGGTAGACATATGGTTCAAGTTATATCATCTCAAAATAAAAATATTGCACAATTTCAGTGGTGTTGTAATCTTTACCTTTGAACTTATGACCTCAAAATCATTTTATTGGGTATTGCCATACCATTAAGTTT